CTGGTCAGAACTTTAACACGGTGACGTTTCCTCTACACTGCATGGATATGAGCGCTATTTGGAGAACTTGGGCGCTCAGGGCTATTTGGGGATGTATTTGTGGGGTTACTTTATGTTTTTATGATGTTTTGGGGTATTTTGATGTTTTATATATTTATGTTTGTCTCTCTGTTCCTGCTTACCGCTCTTTAACACAATAATCTCCAAAGCACAGAGATTTATGGGAGGGGCTTGCCTTGCATTAAATGGAGACCCCATGATGGGGGCTGTTTATAAAAGCAGGCAACTTGGCCATAAGAAACCAGTTCCTTTACACCTTAACTAATGTTTGGGTGTACCAGCTATACAGCTATACTCTCTGCAGGAGAGCTTTAATCACTAGAAGCTGGATCCAGGACCCTGTTCCAAGGTGGGAAGCGACGGCGAGTCCCCGGCCAAGCTGCGGCGGCTAGGGGCTGAAGTGCTAATGGTGCCCCGGCGAAAGCTAGGGAGCATGTTTAGCGAAGGGGAACCCAGTCGGACCATAAGTAAGAAGTCAAACAAATCAAAAGTGTTTTGACTCCTTAAAAAGAGGGGAGCCAGGACACTCCTAGGACCATTTCCAATACAGCACACTCTAGTGGTTATGGTGCCAAAAGTGTTTCTTTAATCACGTTTACCATACCATGTTAATGTATGTATGTGTGCATTTACATACTAAATAAACATCAGAATCTTTTTAATCCAAGGATGTTAACAATTTTATTACACAATATAGAATAAAATCACACCAGTGATCCAGTCTGTATTCAAATAAAGTAAGACACGAGAGCAGTAAAATATTAATTAAACCAGGTTTGTTATCAAAATATAATTAAACCAGCACCATCAAGCTTAAACTGGCATGCATAAATTGATATTTTTTTTTTATTTAAGCAAGCAAACACTTTTAAACAGATATACAAAATAAAATAAGAAGCACTTTGAAATGTATGTTATATATATTTAAAAACTTACTATAAACTTGGTCATGCCTCTCAGCTAGGGGACTTTCTTCAGTTTTAATTAATCAAATCACATAATTATGTTAAAAGATTACTTAAATATACACGTAGAATTTTAATATATATGCATTTATAGGTATTTAAATTCTACGTGTATACTAATGTAATCTTTTATGTAATTATATGTATTTATCTATATATATATTATTTGCGGTTATTTGTATTTTATATATAGATAGATATATATAGAATGTCATTCTAAGTGTATTTTGTTACCGATATATATATATATATATTAATAACAAAATACAGTTAGAATGAAATTACATATGAACATATAATTTATATTAAATTTTGTTTCAATGTTTTATTTATTTATTTTATTATTTTATTTATTTATTATTGTAATTATACGTATATATATAATATATGTGTATATATCTATTGTATATAAAATATATATATACATATTATATATATGCAACGTCATTCTAATTGTATTTTAATACTAATATATATACTAATATTAGTATTAAAATACACAACGTATGACGTTATATATATATATAAATGTATTTAATTTATTTTAAAACTTGTCTCATTTTTTTTTTCATTTCCCACCAGCAGGGGGACTGTCTGACATTTCAGACAGCCCCCCTGCTGGCAGATCTATAGAGCGATCACATGGCCCCCGGGGGCCTCATTCGCTGGGGGAGGGCTGCCTGGGTGGTCTGGCAGCCCTCCAGAAGAGGATCGCAGCGGAGGTAAGTACCTCCGATCCCCTGGGGCTGAAAGCCGTTACGGCGTTCTATGCCGCCGCAACGGCTTTAAAGCCCTTTAAAGCCGCAACGGCAGAGAACGCCGTAACGGCATTAAGGGGTTAACAAATATGTATATGTGAAATATAAAAATAAAATAAATCTAGAAAGCCACACTTTATTTATCATACAGGATAGCGATGGCATTCAACCTTCTAATATAAATTTAAAAGAAATTAGATAACCATATAGAGAAAGTTATATGTGATAATCAATGATTTATTCAGTTATGTCATTTCCAGAGAAATGATGGTCCAAAACTTCAAGATAAAAACTGCATATTGCTTTAACAGCATTACTTGAACATTGAAAACAAACAATGAACTGTGCTTTAGCTGATATACCTTACAAAGCAGTCCCCCCCACCCCAACAACTTTTGCTCCATGTACTTGCTATGCGGCCTGCACCATTAAATGTATATTAAAAAAGATGGTGGCCAGAGTAGGAGTATGATATTCAGTGGGTGGATGCTTCCCTATACTGTTTTATCAAGCTTACTGATACAACAATTTCATAAACAATTAAAACATTATATATATAAAATTTATCAATAACCACTTGCGTATTATATTTTGTTTTTTCTTGGGCATCTCAATTTTAAGTAGATGACATTCAGACCAAACATTGTGAAATATTGATATTGACATAATTGTTTGTAGTTACACTATTCTGGAGAATTGACAAATTAGCACAACCTATCACCTAACAATAATACTGTTTATTGCTTAACAATGAGCTAAAGAACAATACGATTATTTAATTAACATTTTCTACTTGAAAATCTTCTTTCTTATGTTACAGTTAACACCTTATACTCAATACTTCTAAGGACTGTTTAGAAATAAATACTATTTTATTGCCATTGCTTTGTTAAACACTTTGGGCTTCTCCTCCTCTTCTGTCAAGAGGTTAATAAGATGATTTCATCATTTTCAGATACAACTAAATTCTAAGGCAGCATTCATATCTCATATCAGCAGAATATAAATACACCGTGGAAGTATTATTCCTACATCATTTTTTTCCTTCTCAATCTATACTGCTATTTCGAGATCCTTGAGAGTAGAGACATTGTCTCCTTATTACAGTACAATGGAATCTCTGTGAAACCTTATTATGAAAGCTCTTATAGATAGTTCAGCCTTCCAGAAGATATATGTAGAGAAAGTGGGAAGAGAAATGATTCATACTAGTATATATTATACAGCTCCAATATTCCTGATTGCTGCAATATATAGTAGATTGCCTCTTTAACTATTAAATACTGCTCCTGAGCCATTTTTCTAACTGTGAAATTTCCCAGAAATGGCTATGGAATGCATGCAGAATAAAATCCATATTTGTCAATGCTACAATTTAATAAAAATGTAAATATACTGCAAATGTTCTTGAAATACCATGCGGAACTGTAATGCTTGTTTCTTAATTTGAAGGCCTATATTCCAATCACACATTTTTGATAGATTTTATTCTATTAGTTTTTTTTATTTGCGATCCTAGTTCACTGTTATTAACTAAGCAATTGGAACAACCTGTACCAGAACCACTATAGTAAGCTTTAATGGTTCTGGTGCCTAGAGTATTCCTTTAAGAATATAATATTGTGTTAAAATATTGTCACTGTATATAACTGACTGCATCTAGAGTAGTCATATGATGCAAGCAAATGCCACTGTCAGATTAAATTACTGTTCCACAATAACATATGCAATCTTTAGAATTTGGTTCTCTTTTGGTTAAAACATTACATACAATGCCTTATTTTCAAAACGTATAAAATCTCAATTAAAACAATATGCAAATTTGCAATGTGCTTTTAAACAAATCTAACTTATAAATTATCACAGCATTTCAAAAGCAATCTGTGATATAGTGAAAAATCTTATTATGGCAGAAACTGGCATTATTTGTTTAATTACTTTCCCTTTTTTAATTAAACACTTACTAAAGTGACAGGTAATTTAATTTATATTAAAGGGACACTATAGTCACCTGAACAACTTTAGCTTCATGAAGCAGTTTTGGTGTATAGAACATGCCCCTGCAGCCTCACTGCTCAATCCTCTGCCATTTAAGAGTTAAATCCCTTTGTTTATGAACCCTCGTCACACCTCCCTGCATGTGACTTGCACAGCCTTCCATAAACACTTCCTGTAAAGAGAGCCCTATTTAGGCTTTCTTTATTGCAAGTTCTGTTTAATTACAATTTTCTTAACCCCAGCTATGTTAATAGCTTGCTAGACCCTGCAAGAGCCTCCTGTATGTGAAATTCAATTTAGAGATTGAGATACAATTATTTAAGGTAAATTACATCTGTTTGAAAGTGAAACCAGTTTTTTTTTCATGCAGGCTCTGTCAATCATAGCCAGGGGAGGTGTGGCTAGGGCTGCATAAACAGAAACAAAGTGATTTAACTCCTAAATGACAGTGAATTGAGCAGTGAAATTGCAGGGGAATGATCTATACACTAAAACTGCTTTATTTAGCTAAAGTAATTTAGGTGTTCCTTTAAAGTGCTGTTTTTTTTTTCCTTTGCAAGTCTTGTTAGAACTTATTTAATACATACATGGACAATATTCATATAGCCTATTAAACTTGTTTTTATTATGTCTTACTTTGGCTAAGGTTCAGCACACGTTCAGACAATGACTGTCCACTTTTTCACCAGTATTTATATAGTGAGTGCTTTGCAAATTGCTTGCATAAAAAAAACATGTTGTATATACATACTGCAAATTGGAAGTATTAGTGGAGTATCTTAAAAAAACTTAATCAACCACTACTTCATAAAAGCACCATTTTCAGCTTTCCTTCACCCTTCTCAATCTGTCCTACTCTGTTACCTTTAATAAGACTTTCAACCACTCAGCTATCTTGCATATCTTTATTATTCTTCATTGCCACGTGTCACATATAAATATCTGTTCTTTTATGCACTAGAGTCAGAATGCAATGTGAATTCAAAGTGAATTTGAAATGTAAGATCAAATTAGCTGAACTGGAAAAATTCTCTGTCAGCTGTGCACCACTAGAGGGCATCTGTTTTCAGCTAATGTGTTTTTTTATTTATCTCAAATAGTGATGTCCCGAACTGTTCGCAGAACGGTTCGTGAACAGTTCGCCACGAACCGTCTCAGCATTGAGTAAACTTTGACCCTGTACCTCACAGTCAGCAGACACATTCCAGCCAATCAGCAGCAGACCCTCCCTCCCAGACCTTCCCACCTCCTGGACAGCATCCATTGTGAATCTGCATTCTTAGTGAGCTGTCCAGGAGGTGGGAAGGTCTGGGAGGGAGGGTCTGCTGCTGATTGGCTGGAATATGTCTGCTGACTGTGAGGTACAGATTCAAAATTTACTCAATGATGAGTCCGCGACGAACCGTTCGTGGCGAACCATTCGGCGAACAGTTCGGGACATCACTAATCTCAAATAGTCCGGTAGGAGAGATAAGTACCATGAGCTTTGGTCCTCTGTAGTTCAGTCAGCCTTAATTGTAGACCTGCAGGAACAATTTTAAAGGGTGTAAAACCCAGTGCTCAGTGGCGTACACATGACCCATGGGGCCCCGGTGCGAAAATTGATTGCCCCGCGGGCGGACCGCAACACATGGCGGTGGGCACCTGGTCACAGGGGTTACAGGGCTGCGACCCCTGCGACCGCGGTATGTACGCCAGTGCATGCAGATGCACACACACTTAAAGGACCACTCTAGGCACCCAGACCACTTCAGCTTAATGAAGTGGTCTGGGTGCCAGGTCCAGCTAGGGTTAACCCATTTTTTCATAAACATAGCAGCCCTGGGGTGGTCGGCTCCTGGGCCCCTCAGGGGAAGAGGCTGGCCCTGCGGGTACATACCAGGTCGCAGGGGCGGCCGGGCCCCCTGGTGGGCCGGGCCCAGTCGCAGCCACGACCCCTGCGACCCTGGTATGTACGCCACTGCCAGTGCTCTTCCAGCTCTTACAGTGTCTGTGTGTGGAACTGGCAGGAAATGAAAGTGATCAATTTCTCTCTGCCCACTAGGAACCAGCACACAAAGCCTCAACCTGAAAATAAACATTTTACCTTAATTATATGTTTAACTCCTCTGACAAACTAAACTCATCATGTACCCCAGTACTAAATTTAAACCAAATCTGACCCTACACTTAATTATACTAAACAACTTTAATACCACAATTTTAACCCCTGCAAAATTGTAATCTTCTTAACATTAAACCCTAGGTAATGTAACTTTAGCATTAACCCCTTAAAAGGCATTACGGCAGCATAGAACACTGTAACGGCTTTGATCCACTGAGTCGCCAGGTACTTTCCTACCCGGAGATCCACTTTGAGGAAAAAACTATCATGAATGCTAAACCTAATGGTTTTACCTTGAAAGCATTTTAGCATATTGTAAATTTAAAAACTTTTAAAAACTTTTTGTTTGAAAGCACTGAATGTCCAAAATTCTACTTTAGTCTCTATAGGTAGATGAATGTTGGGGTATTAAATTTAAAAAAAATAGCAAATTAAGAAAATAGACATTTGTTTTATCACAGAATGGTAGCGTTGGGATTGTGAAAATCCCTATCTGATTGTAAAGGTAAATACATTATATGTTTAGCTATATGTCTAATGTGCATACAATACCAAAATAATAACCATTGTGAATAAAAATTCCCAATGATTACAAAAAAGGTATACAAATCATGGCTTGCATTCCTATTACTTTTTACATTGCTTTTGTTGCCATACTTGTGGTTGTTAAGGTAACCATCATTGCTTTTATGTCACATAGATTTTGATTTACTCTCTTCTGTAAATAACGTATCACTGGAGATTAGTATCATGACTCTCATCAATAATACCTCATGGCCACACAATAATATAGGGCCAGGGAACTCTTAAAATGTTCCTTAGAGGGTTGATATTGTACTTCTTTTTCGCATGTATTGCATGCATTTCACTAAAATGTAAGATAGATAGATAGATGGATAGGTAGATAGATGGATAGATGGATGGATAGATAGATGGATAGATAGATAGATAGATAGCATTATTAGAACTTTTGCATTGTAAATTGCAGGATAAAGATTATAAGCATAACCATATACTTTGCATAAAAGGGGGGAGAAAAAGAATTTAAAAAAAAAGCATTTGATGAAATGAACAGCTACAAAATTATGCAATCCTTATATTAGGACTAAAGAACTGAATGAAAAGAAAAAATATAGGATTTTCAATCCACTGTAGAGAGAATACCATTTTAACCAATACATGTTCAGTGCTAGGTGATCCATTAAACAGAAATGAGAAAGAGAAAAAACAGGAGTTCTTTTGTTGTAAGCCAGGAAATCATAGAGTATTATTAACCCCTTAAGGACACATGACGGAAATATTCCGTCATGATTCCCTTTTATTCCAGAAGTTGTGTCATTAAGGGGTTAAGGTTTAAACAGATTATAATTTCCAATGGTCAAAGTCAGGATATCAGTCCAAAGGGAAAAGCAGTGAGAGTAATCCTTTAAACAGTTCCTAGTCAGTAAATCAAGATATGTTTTGTGGTGATAAGCAGTAGAATTGTCAGAAAGCAAAGTTTGGTACTGTCTGGATATGCCCTAACATGCATAAAAACTAATATGCCTAACATGCATAAATAAAACCCTAAGGTATATTACTAGACCTTAGAACATATAAAAAGAAAAGTACAGGACAGGCTGAGGTCAGGAATACAGAGTGTACGTAAATGGCAGACAAGCCAAAGGTCAAGAAAAGTCAGGTAACAAGCCAAAGTTCAAGGGATACAGAAATCAGAATAGTCAAATAACAAGCCAAAGTCAAAATACACAAGAATCAATACCATAAACGTGCTCTCGGAAATTGAAATTATGACAGGGCACCAAGAAATGTTCAAAAAGGTGGAAATAGCCTAAGGTATTCTAGGATTGGCTGCAGGGGAGCATGTGACTCTGGAACGTGTGTGTGTGACGTCACACTCATGTTCCCAATGGCCGTGATAGGCTCTGATTTGCAGCGGCCTGGCATCTCTAAGGATTTCAGACCCGGCCATTGCGTCGTGGGAGGAACATGATGAGTGCCCGTTGGGACTGAGCCTGTCATGTGTCGCTGAAATATGTAAGTGTTCGCCGGCCACATTTCTACGTTGGAACACCAACGCAACAAGATGCGCCCGCTGGGGCCCAGACTGTTTTCCTGTGGGCATCATGACAGGTGCACATGGGAAAGCAGAAGCCAGACAGGGAGCAAGGATCAACTCCTAACAAGAACAGCAGCTGGAGAGAAAAGGAACAGTGATCTTGCTGATCAGACTAATTAATTGAGCACTGATTCTATGGATTCGCAGGTTAATATAGCAACACGACATCCTAAGCAAATCATTCCTCAAAGTTAGAGTGCAAGAATAGTACAAATCTGTTGTACAATGATGCTGGTTTAGTACATACATACTGAATACTTGTATTTTTCCCTAAAAATATTCAGACTTTATTAAAAGTGTGGTAAAAAATGTGATATATTCTGCTTAACATAAGCAATGTATTTTTAGGTATCAAAGGATCTACATGATAAACAGCAAGACATTGAAGATCATTTGAAGAATTTATCTTTGTTTGACCTTCAGTTAAATCAGCTGACATTGTGGGTATCTTCTGTAAAAGACCAGTTGCTCTTCTACAATCAAGTGGGTCGACCTGGAGCATTTGATATCAAGGTAATACTGAGTATTGTTATGTTTTGCAATTACTTCATTTTTCCATTTATTAATGTGGTTGTGATTAATGTGCTCTAGTTTGTACATTTAATTTTTAATTTAATGTTTAATGTTTTAATTAATAGAAATAATCTAATGTGATACAATTGTATATGCAATAAATATTTAATTTCAAGTATTTATACAGAAAACCAGGTGGAGGTAGAGTTTGTGGAATTCAAGGAGAATTGAATGATGCTGTGACTGATTAGTAGAATCCTCCAGGAAAACATTTTACAATATTCTATTGTAAAAATTAGTAAAATATTGCATTATGGGGGTGGTAGAGAGTTTCAGCCAATCAAAATTATTCAATCCCCATAGAAAATCTGTTTTTATGTCAAAATTTACAGACTTTTAGCTGTTTGTAATGAACAATCGAACAAAAGCAATTGAAATAGCTCAACACAACAAATGCTTCAAGTAGTTTCCCCACATTCAACTGAAAATGCAAATTATAATGACTTATAAAAATCTCAAAATTATTTAATCACCTTAATAGAACCCCTCACAACTTCACAAATATGCAAACCAAGTGTTGTCTCAAGCACACCTGATGCAACTAATTAAAGGGACACTATAGGCACTGTATCTGCTTCATTTCATTAAACTGATTATAGTGTCCAGAGTTCCCAAGTTCCATAATTTAATTCAGCATTATACAGTTTTTCATATTTTTATGTTTCAATGCTAAATTAAAGACCTCAGCAGCCCCTCCCCTCTGTGCTGCTTCGAAATATGGCTAAGTCAAAAGATTGGTCTACAAAGTTAGCAGAAGAGATCACCTTTGCAAACAAGGAAAAGGATACAAAAAGATAGCGAAGGCATTGAAAGATGAGTAGGGAAAGTAACGGATGATATATGGGCATCGCCAATGAGTGTATCGCTCACAGTGGTATAGTTGGTGGACTCACTGAGTAGTTGTCTTTGAATGACACACAGTATCATTTCATAAGCCTGCTGTTACAACCAATGTTAACATCAATAGTTTTCATATGAAGAATAACTGTTTATTATTATTCTTGGTTTTATGGTTTGTAATCATTTACATTTTGCTTTCCTAATATACCATCTATATTGGTGATTCTCTTCATAATTGTTTTGATGGACATCTCCACTTAGCTTATTCCATATTGGACAACAGATATATCTTATAGTTAGATATTAGTTTGATCACATAATAATGAGGTCTAGTTATTTTCACTTTACCCAACATATCGCCGTTCCTTTTCTTCAAACATCATGTTCCTTTTCCAATACATATGTAGCATAAGTTCCTATTTTAAATCTTTCCACCATAGTATACCATTGAGTTTAACTCATATCAAGGTGATTCTTAATTTATAAAAATATTAATAAAAGAGAAAAGTTTCTGTAATTATTTCCTTATTGCTAGCAACAATCTGAAAAGATTCTTGGGGATGTTGTAAATGTGATATTTGCTGAATGGCTCTATTACAACAAATCCTTAATATCCATTTCTTTTGAATCTAAGTGATTGGCACAGACTAATGTCAAAATCAATAAAAGTTGTCTCCATAAATAGGTAC